TCATTGGTTTAATGACCGGCAGCTCTGAAGGCACAGGCTTGGAAGCAGCAGCCAGAGGAGGATCTGAAGCAGCAGGAGGAAGCCCCTTGTTTCAAAGCTCATCCACACACCCTCCTATCCCAGGAGCTCTTGGTCCCAGAAAGAGATTCAATCCCTTGCTGTTTGGTAACATGATCTGCGGGCTATGGAGAAGAGACCAGGAGGCAGAGCAGGTGGACAGGAGAATGTTGAGGTAGAGGCTAAGAAAGTCCAGGCGATGGAAGAGGCCAGGAACTGGGATGAAGAGCAGAGAGGGAGTAACTGGCCAGGCTGCAGAAGAAACCTCTGCACAAGACAATCCAAGACTCAGGTACCAGGGTGTGGAAGTTACAACAGTGTTCAGCCTCTGACTGTGCCCCTATGTCCCATGTTCTCCACTAGATTCCACTGCTAACCTCAGGTGTGAGCTGCAGGCACCACCTGGGCACAGGAGCTGCTCTTTGTTTCATGCCAGGAGCCTTCTGTCTTGGTCACCAGGGCATGGAGAGGACCCATTTCTGCAGCCACCATTCCCCACACCCCACAGAGCATAACCGACATGTATGGACTCTCCTTTTGTAGAGAACTGTTTTCCTACAATACTGAGGCTCATAAGGAGGCTCCACACCTGTGTGTCTCCTACTGACTTCAAGTACTTATTTACTTTGAGCCATCATGGACGTTGATGTTGGGTTTTAACTCTGACTAGAATGTCAAGTCTCTGTACCAGGAGAGTGCAAATCTATTGCCCCTTTGACCCCCTCCCAGTTTTCTATGTTAATCAGAAAATAAGGACCATCAACCACTAAGTTAGGATGTACATCATGTCTTTCCTGAGGAATAATATTGTGTATCAGATACTGTCCCCTTCTTTGCACAAATTGAATTTAGAGCAAAGGAGACAGGCACTCCAATGGGGATGCATCGGGAACTGTACAAGCAGGAAGAACACTGTGTGGACCCACAGGGAGCCTCCCAGCAGCTATGTCCTGCTTTGGGGCAGAGGTGTTGTGAAGACACATTCTTCCCTTGTAAGTGCTGACGATAACGGGGAACACTGTGCATTACACACATGTGTCAGTCCTCCCATAACCTGGGGTGGATGCCAGATATTTGATTCCCCTCCCTGATTATGTGTCATGATGTTTTAACTCTCTTAGCCCCTTTGTAGCTCACTTTGTATTGGGGAAAATGGTTAGTTTTAGAGGAGGAGTGTCCAGGATTCTGGAAAGCATAGATGCTGTCCTTAGAGAAACCTGGGCTACATGCGTTTCCTGTCCATCCCTGTTTTGTTAGCTTCCTCCCAGGAACCACTTTGCCTTTTACACTAAATGTGCTTTTTTTCTCATCTGCTAAACATCCTCATAAGACTTGGTTCAGCTCAAGGAATATCTTTCTCATAAGTCCTTCCTTGACCACCTGGCCTCCTCAGATATGGATCATCACTCACTTCTCTGTGGCTCCCAATTTCTCCCTCTGTGCATCTCCCTCAGAACGGTTACACCACCGTGGTTTTTGCCCTTGTTCACCAGCTAATAGAGGCAGAGACACCTCCAATTTTCTTAGTCCCCGAATACAACAGTTATCTTCATCACCTTTGTACCTTGTATTGCTGGTACAGAGTTCAGTCATTCCCTCCTGAATAGTGTTTTTCCTGTAGACTTAAAATGACTTATGAACTCTACTCTACTCATCACCTGCTCCTGTGCATGGGGATATAACAGCACCCATATTCTGCCCAGGTCAGTTCTAGGCACCTTGTAAGTTAGTAACCCTATCTTACATTCTTTCCACTAGTTTATTCCGTGAACCTTGTGAACAGGCCGTTGTAGAGTCAGTGATGATGAAAAAGCAAAGCATGATTTCCAGAGCCCTGAGCCTCCTAAAGTCCCACAAACAGATGCAAAATGCAGTTCCTTTATTCCTTTCCCAGAAGTCTAACATAGAGTTCTATAACTGCTT